TAATTTTTGCTCCTCTACAAAAGCGAAACAATGTCGGACAAGATTTTGAGGTAAGGCCGTTGCTCGATCCCGGACCAATATTAAAGATGGCGGCGGAAGGGCCTCGGAAAAGAGTGTACATCTGTGTTTCTAATAAAATAATGCACTGAATACGCATGCACTTACCGCCAAGAAGGGTGATATTGGCAAACACTGCCCCACCTCTACACGAACTGCAGTGCATGGGCGAATGTACTGAAAGCTTTAACTTCATTTATTCACCTTAGAGATCCCCTGATAGAGATATTAGTTATTACTTAACGGGTGGGAATACTTTAGTTCATAATTTGCATAAAGATAGTGAAAACACAAAAATAGAAAAAGAAAAAAATACATGCGTGAAACATTTACAGAATACTCAACTAAACACCGAAGAGAAAAAAATACCGATCATCACAAAGGGTTAAGCGTTAAGTTCTTCAGCACAAACAACTATATGCCTAAACAATTCCAAGTAAAAAAATAGCGGTCTCGTCGTGAAAAGTGCGCCACGACATTCACCGTAAACGCACACACAGGCAATTGATGGCAACGACCTGGCGAGGCAGGTTGTTCCAATCAGTAGCAGCATGACAAACGAATGAGGTGGGAAAGGTAGCAATGCGCATTCGAGGGTGGCCCACTTGAAAAGTGTGTCGTGTGCGACGAGATGTTCCGTCTGCTGGGATGATGTACGGTGGTTGATTAAGTCAGGGAGGATAGAAATTGTGGAAAAGCGAAAGGGTTGCAGTGCGCCGGCGCGCACAAGAAGGGAGAAAATTTAATTGTTTTTCTTAAGGCGTGGTTGAAAGCGTATTTAAGAATACTCCTGATCTAAAGATCATGTTTCCTCGTTTGATCGTTAATACGTCGGCCAGTAAGAAGCATGGGGGGCCCTACGTCATCTGTGCGCTGGGAGTGGTCTACGAAATTGGTCTACGAAATTGCTCTTCCTGTAGAAGGGTTTACATCAACCACACCGTACCTCTACTATACTAGGGCACATGTTCGGCAAAGACAAGTTCGCTGTACACCGCCCACTGCCATTTGTTTTTTGGTGTAAGTACTCTGTAACACGCCTTCAACCAGGCCTTCCTGCTGCCACGATACATATACAATCATCTACTGTGATCGCAGCCGCACCCACCCAGCCGATGTTTATTTTTTCCCGAGGCTTCCGCATAACACGAGCGAACTGCATTGCGACTTGGGAAAGGACCAGTTTCGCGTGCGTGGTTCACTTCGACGCCGTACACACACGCGGCTTTCGGAGACAGACGAATCTCAGTTCGCGCACTGAATGGCCGCCGCTCGCTTTCGCCTTTCCTCCAGCCGACCCACAAATACCGTTGCCACTGCGGAAGCACAGTAAGAAAACGAAAATCATGCGGTAGACAAGTACCGTCTTCACCGCGGAAACGCGGAAAGGAAAAAAAGAAAACACTGGGGGAGTAGCGCCTGCCGCATTCCGGGTCCTCCACCTTTTCATTGAGAAGATTATGCGCGTGCCGAGGCCCATCGGTCTCGCTTTGATTGCCTGACGCACGTCGCATCCGCGTGTCCTCTGACGGTCGGCGTGTCGAAGCAGGGAATGCCGCAGATTCGAGAGTGCGGGTCAACCGGCTTTCATCGTGTAGTGTTCCGTGGCCGACTCTGAGGTCGCAAGTTCGTTTCCCGACAGCGGTGGCCTCGTTAGACGTTTTAGTCCAGCAAGATTTGGGAAGAGAGACTGAGAGAAACGGAGAGGAAAGGCAGGGAGGTTAACCAAGCCTTGGCTCGGTTGGCTACCCTACACTTGGGGTGAGGGTAAAAAGAAATATAAGAAATGAATGAGATAGAGAAAAAGAAGAACAGTGAGAAAGAGAAGGATAAATAGTCAGCTCGAGATTACACAGCATGGTCTCGCGATCTTCGTTCGCAAGCGCTGGTGACGTCCGGTGATCCTCAATAAGCACAAGAGTTTTCCTTGCCTTGCGCGTATGCGAGACCGTGGGCCAACGTCCGGGGATCTTCTTTTCTGTAAGTGGTCTTGAATCCAGGTGACGGAGCTTGGCTTCCATACCACGTCGTTGAGTTCGGTATGATGGGCAGTCGCGTGGAATGTGATCAAGCGTCTCCTCGCAGGAACAAATAAGCGTTACAGATCCCCAGTCCAACAACTCCGTCTTCTATCTATAGACCCGGCGTAATTAATTGTCGTTGGCGGTTTACGTGCCAGAAAGACGATAGGCTTATGTGGTCAGCCCTGTAGTGGAGGGCTCCGGAAATCTCGACCATGTGGTGTTTTTTTTTGTTTTTTTAACGCGCACTGACATCCACGTTGGCCTCTGGCATTTCGCTTCCGTTAAAATGTGATCACCACGACCAGGATTGAAGCCACTACTTTCAGGTCGGCACCTGAGGTCGGCACCTGAGGTCGGCATCTGAGCCCCGTAACAAGCACGCCACTGCGACGGAGAACAAGTATTATTAATGTTGTTAACAAATGTAGTGGAGGAGTTGATATGTGAACACGCACGCAATTCTACTGAATGCAAGGACTCTGTTATTTTGTGTGAGGGCATACCGTATCACGTATTATTTCCTTTTGATAAATGATAGTGAACGCCTGTGAGGATTTCACTGCTGTCTGAGCAAATAAAAAAAAAGGAAGCGCTATTCAGCCTCGATTTAATGAGACCCCTCGAAGCACACCTCTCATGAAGCTCGTACCTTTTCTCCGAGTCAAGCAGCCCCACCGCGGTGGTTTAGCAGCTAAAGTACTTGGCTGCTGACCCACAGGTCGCGGGATTGAATCCCGGCTACGGAGGCTGCATTTCCGATGGAGGCGGAAATGTTGTAGGCCCGTGTGCTCCGACTTGGGTGCTTGCTAAAGAATTCCAGATGGTCGAAATTTCCGGAGCCCTCCACTACGGCGTCTCTCTTAATCATATGGTGCTTTTGGGACGTTGAACCCTACATGTCAACCAATCAAATATCGTCTGTGTCATTTTTTTTATGTGTGTCCCCGTTCAGAACATCGCGCAGTTCTATACTTCAGCAGGTGATATTGTTTAAACTGATATACGAGATGCTCACTGCCGCAAGCCAGGACAATCAGATAAACATGGTTGACCGGGTGGATCCAGAGAGAATAACCATATATTATCCTTGATATCCATCGTCCGTCAAGGACAAAAAGTACGCCAGATTCCATATTACATTCGAATCGTTTTTATGTGAAGCATGCGCAGGGAAGGTGACTACGGTGATATATTTTTGTTGAGCTAAACGTTACAAAACGACACCAGACGTGTACAAATGTTATACGCGCCCACAGCTATGTTCTAAATTGCCGGCGATTTACAATTACGTCACGGTATCAGGAGCAGCAACGTGGGCAATACTAACACCAGAAGCCATGATCTGAAATGCAGCGCTTGTGCTTGCGAATACGGTAGCCCGGGACGTAGACCAACATCAGTGAATGGCGTTTATTTATATGCAATTGACACTAACTCGACGTGACGCATGAACCATTGGAGTGCATATGGGATGCTTATTATATTAAATGGCCAGCACTGCAACCCCAATTGACGTTTCACCAACACTACGCCTGCATAGTGGCTTTTTTCATAGGAGTTCTGAGACGTGGCGTGTCTCTGTGGTAGAATGCTAGATTACCACGCAGGATGGTTGGGTTCGATTCCGGCTGGAACAATAACACATTTTCTTTGCATTTGTCAGCTGAATGATGCCAATGTAGGCTTTTCTTAATGCTCTCGAATTTAAATTTCCAATGTCTGTTCGCCCCATTCTTCGGTAGGCATCAAGTGCCCATCTCCTGTGGCGCATACAACGGCCCAAGGTTTACGGGTATTTGCCACACATGTCTGGAGGAAAGGAACTGACCTCGTACGCAACGAGTAGGGCAAGTAGAACTTTATTAAACCAATGGATTCGGGCACGTGCGTCCCTGGGTCCCCGCGCGACCCCACTGAGCTAAGCGTTCATGAATTCGTGAAGTTGCTTGGCGTGGGTGGCCCGTTCAGTGGTGATCTTCTACTTGGCCGGGTCCGCCGAGCGCCGCATTGGGATTTTAACATTATGCATGTCATAACCAGACAGTCATCATCCTCGAGACCTCTCACTCTACCGTACTGATTTTGGTCTACCCCATGCTCAAGAAGGTGACCGCGGGAGCATTCAAACGTAGATAGATAGATAGATAGATAGATAGATAGATAGATAGATAGATAGATAGATAGATAGATAGATAGATAGATAGATAGATAGATAGATAGATAGATAGATAGATAGATAGATAGATAGATAGATAGATAGATAGATAGATAGATAGATAGATAGATAGATAGATAGATAGATAGATAGATAGATAGATAGATAGATAGATACCCGCAAAGTGCCTGCAGTTCGCAAAAATATGCTTCGCACTTAAAAGGAGGAGACGCCAGCCTGCTTTTAAGCAAATCTTTCATAACTCGCAGGGATCGGTGTCTTACGTGAAAACCACGGCGTCTGTGAACTTACAGAACTACAGCCCTTGAAAGTCCGCTGGTTAAATGCTTATTTTTGTGTTTTTACATATAAGCCTTCCAACGGCGTATAGCTGTCACCAGCGCCACTGTCACAGTTTCTTACTCCGGTTGATTGTCATCGATGGCAGGGCGATGGGAGGAGTGTCGGTGTGCATGTAGTGCAATATGACCGAGCAAGGTGAAGCTTCGTAAAAGATGCCATCGTGGGTTGAAGCTACGACGGGATAAAAGCTACACACATACGCACTTCCGGTGGAGTTGATAGGCGTCCAGGTTATCCAGCTTCTTGGAAGTTCTCAGGTTTCACTTGCTCGATTAGTGCATCTTTCCTGCAGCCATCATGGTGGGTAGGCCCATCGGCTGCGGAACTATGAGTTCCTCTGTGCCAAACTGTCTTGCGAGAATGATCGCTAACTTGACGCAATTTTTTTTTCTTTCGTGCAGGCCTTGTTCACTCCAGTGTGGTGCTGCGCGTAGCTGTTCTCTGCACATCGGCGATGCGGTGCCGGTTACTGCTCGCCGCTTTCGCGACGTTCTGGCTCACCTCTCTGCTCAACCCCGACGCAGCCAGCGCGGGCCACGTCTTCTCCTCAGTGGCTCACATGAACGACCTGGTGTCCCTGGAGCGCAGACTCGTCTACAAGGTCGGCGACTTCCTGCACCGCATGGAAACCAAGCTGGGATACCTGCGCAG